GCATCCCTCCACTGCCACCAGCCTGGGGCAATACCCATGCTGGCTGTTTGCTTGCACATGTATTTTGCTGCTTGCTCCCTTTCTTTGCAGGGAAGGCCAAAAGCTGCTCTGAGCCCGGAGCCCAGCTCTCCGAAACACCTCTTAAGGAGCAGGTAAGGCAGGACGGAGCTGGGCTGGGAGCAGCTGCTGCATCCCAAGTGCCCAGCCACTGCACCCCTTTCCTTTCAGCTGAGAAACCGATTTAAGAAGAAGGTCCCGCCGGGGGCCGAAGCAGCCCACGTTGCCGTCGGTGAAGTTGAATTCCTGGAGAAGCCCTTCACCGCCTTCATCCGTCTCCGGCGAGGGGTAGCCCTCGGCTCGCTGGCCGAAGTCGCTCTCCCCAGCAGGTAAACGGAGCACGGCCAATGGCCCTGTGCCCCACTTCATCCCTGTCTCCCTGCTCCCTTCCACACAGAACAAGGCTTTGGTTGGGTAAACCAAAGGGTACAGCAACCAGTGCCACATGCAGTCCCAGAACCCTGGCTCACTGCTTCCCTCCTGCTTTTCCCAGCTCCTTAGGAGCATCCCGGGACAGGCTGAGAGTGGAGCATCTGTTGGGCAGCCTGGGGGGGACATCCCCTGGGTTACCGCCACCTGGGGTCGGCATTCACTCTTCTCCTTAGGAGGGTCTGGATGCTCTCCACTTACTGCCCGGGAGCAGTAGTGGGAGGCTGGGAAGGGGGACGCAGATTTGCAGGAGCCTCTTGCCCTCCCGCTGCCCGCGATGCTCTGCTGAGCAGTGGGGTGGCTCTTGCAGCACTGTCGGCATAGGGGGAAAGGAGCAGGGGAGAAGATGTTTCTCCACAGTTGAGGAATGCATCATCTGAAGTCGTAAGGGGAAATCGTCAGTGTGCCCCTTGAGCTGGGGACTTCCTTAGGGAGTGTGCAAAGGAGGCAGGCAGGGATCAGGAGGGACATTGCCACCTCCTGGTCACTCTGCCCAGAGCACCCGTCCTCCTGGAGCTGGGTGGAGCTGGACATCCATCCACCTCCTGCCCTCTCCTTGGTGGGAGATGGGTGGCAGGTCCCCGGGGAGCCCCCGCGGGTCTTGAGGGGCTCACGACAACCCCTTGCCCTGTATTTTCCTCCCCCAAACAGGAAGGGAAGGAGATCTTGTCCCTACCCATCCCTTTGTCCGTGGTGCCATCCCCTTTGCTGGCTGCCCCGGCCTGTCCCGCGGATGCAGCCATCGTCTCGGGGCTATCTCCCCCCCACGTCCATCCCTCCGGT